TGATAAGTAATCAGAAAGGGAGGACTTTCCTGTCTCAGTGTTTGCAAGTTTATTACTGATGGCAGAGTAAATGATGTTCCTAGGACTTTTATGAAGAAGATATGAGAAGAATGTAGAGCTCCAAGCGTTAGCATTTTAGATGCATTAAGCTATCTAGACCATGTGAAAAATGTCATTGCCTACTGAGCAGTTAATGTGCCCATCAGTCATGGCACAAACTGTTCTGTCTTTTGGAAACCAGAGGAGACAGAACTCAGTATCATTCAGGTGGCCTGTAATTGCTTTGTTTTGCACAACACTGCATGAAGTGACTGCGTCCCAAAGTTGAAAGCGTTGCAATAAAGATCTTAAATGAGTTTGCATGTGGAGCAAAGAACGCTAAGTGCCTGAAACTTGGTAGCTAGAGATTTTTAAGCACACTTCAATTTACTGGTAAAGGTTTTTTCCCCCCTAGTAGTTAGTATGCTGCTTCCTAAGTGGAAAAAAACCATGAAAAAAAATTGTGGGACAATGTATGCACTGTATACCATATATATATATATTTACACACACACACGCTATAGTTCGCTTTGCAGTTAAGAGCATAGCCATGTGACAATATGTTGTGACATTAATAACTATATCAGAAATGGAAACGATAGTTGTCAAATAGTCTGCAATGATAGGCTTCAGATTTTAGCTAAGAGCTGTGCATAATTTCAGGGTTTTGCCAGTTTTTTCCCCACCCCAGAAACACAGTACCTGTGGCCCTCAGAATGGCAGATACCTCTAGAAGGAGAGTGAGGTAACTCATATTACAAATCATGGTTGAGGACCTGCTCTACCCATCATCGTTCTGCCATGCTGGTTATGTTTTAGGTGTGTTGGCCATGCAAAGAAGAGCATCCTAAATTAGGGCAGGCATACTGTCAAGTAGGTCCTAAGCAATCCCTTGGATGGCTATTATTTAAAGAGGCCATATGTTCACTGTGCTGACTTGAGCATTGGGGGGTCTGTGACCCCTTCTGAGGAAAAGCTGTTCTGATACAGCTTTATGGGCCATAAGATCATGATTGCTGTTCCAAACGTCTCTCCAGTCAGTATGCCAGAACATTATATTGCTCCATAAACTCACTTAGCTTCACATTGTCAGTGGAGAAAGAGTTAGTTGGCTCACTTGGTAAATTGTCCTTCAGAAAAGTCTGTCTCTGTCCGTTAGTCATATATGATGTGAAGGTGCCCAGCTGACTTGTCCTGCTAAGCCAGACTGCCGTTACCGGCATTGCAGTGACTACTCTGCTCATGCCAGGCAGGCTCAGTGCTGTTGGTCTTATTTGAACACAAAAGGATTAGCAATTTTTGCTGAAATTCCACTACTCACCAACAAACTAAAGCAGGGATTACAGAAAGGTGAGTTAATCTGTCTTTGTGCTTCTAAAAGTGGCTACAAAAATTGAATGATGCTATGGCAGAGTACCTGCAGGGAGGCGCTTGGCAGTAGGCACTGTCCCTTTCCAAGTAGCTCAGCACCACTGGTGCAGAGATGCTCCGTCGGTAGGCAGCTCTTTGCAGGTGAGCAGCACTGCTGGGGTGCCTCACGCTGCTGTTGTACACGCTGACAAACCCGCCTCGAAGCAGCTGCTTGGAAATACCGAGCATTTTTCTAAATGCCAATGGAGTTTTATTGGACCAGACTCTGCCTTCAGTTATTGGTAAGCAACACCCAGCTTGTCAACTCCAGGCAACTACCTCTAGGTCCGCCTCAGCCTTGTTATGCTTTAGTCTTAGAATAGGGTTTTTTCATGAACATGCTGGTCACTTCCAGCTGTCTGCAAGATGTTACTTATAGTCGCATTTCTACAGCAGGAACTTTGCTGAGTGGCTCCCTCTAACTGCTGTACTTTTCTGTGTAATATCAGTGATGTACTTGCACTCGCAGCGTACCTAAATAATCTTCTAGTAGCACAAAATATCAGTTGACAGTTTCACAAAATCTCAGACTTTTTGAAAGCTCATTTTTAACGATTTTCCCATTCATGTATCACCAGGCTTTAAAATGTGTTCTTTTAAATAGTTTCTCTTTTATTAAAAATGAACAACAGCAGCAACAAAACCAGCACAAGAGTAATACAGGGTAATTTGAGTAACAACACTAAGTTACCCTGTGATTTCTAAAGAACAACAAACTGTTTGACAAAAACCTTGATGCAAATAACTTCCAAGTGGAAAGAATGACTGGCTCTAGTAAAATGCAGCTTACTCCAGACATCCCGTTAGCTTCAACAGGAGTAAAATGTAAATAAGAGTGTGACTTGACTCCTTATATTGATAAGTTTTTGGGGGTTTTTGGTGTACATAATCATATTAGTTGAACAGAATCTCATACAAGTGTAAATTTCATAGTAAAGATGTCTTTATTCCAAAATAATAATAATGTGTTAGCCAGACAGCTACAAAACATCTACACAAGACTTTGGTAAGAAATATTCACGGTAGCTTTTTCATAATTCCACAGCAAACAAAAACAATGAAGGAAATCTAAAAATGCGATCAAACAAAATTTTGTTTAAATTGTATGCTGCACACAGAGTCCTACTGTACATTTATTAAGCCCCTAACTTTTCTTTTTTATTATGTGTAAAGCTTCTACAGTTTGTATGTTAGAAAAAAACACCATACACACAATGCTAAAATCTGATAGTTGAGGTCTACAAAACTGGAGCTTTCAGTTCAGCAGTATTATTCAGGAGATAAGAGAGAGAACAGTTCTCATTTTTATTGACTGATAATCAGTGGCTATTACACTACTAGAAAGTTTACAGTAACAATGCAATACTTCTACATATTGTATATCAGAGCTTTTTCTTCTGAATAGAAAATCAACCTCTTATTTTTTCTTCATTTGTTTTTGTTTGTGTTTTTTGTTTGTTTTTTTTTTACAAAATGTAACAAGCTTAAATATTTCTTTTGTATCAAGTTAGAAGAAAGACAAGCGACTTGTAAAATGTTTCAACAGAAAAACAGTGTGAAAAGCTGAACCTAAGCAGGAACGATCACGTTTCTGACCCAGTGCAATCTACGTTGCCATTGCATGTATTAACAAGGTGTGTGTGGGGGAATTTTCCAACATTCATAACTTTAATGAGCCTAAGAGAAATGACTGGAAATCACACTGAACAGCCTCCTAAGAGAAAAAAAAAGTATATGGAGAATCAAATTAGTGAGAACCACAGTGAAAGGAATGCCAGATTGTTTTAATGGACAATTTTGTGGGCACATTCAGAAAGATGTGTATTTCCTACATACCTAATGATGTATTTGGACTATGTAGCCTTTGGCAAAGGGAGTAATTAAAAGACAAAACAGCTTGATGAACTGGAACAAACGTGAAAATGAAAATAACTTAACATTGTTTTTAATTGATTATTTGCAGAAACAGGCACGGTTTTGCAAGATTAGCTTAAAGAAGTGGTAAGGGTTGATGAGATAAAATATAGTCCATAGACTTATAGCATTCTTTTTCCATTCAGAAGAAACTTTCTTCTTCTGCTCTCTCTGCCCCAAGCTCTCACAGATCCAAGCCTACAAAAACCACTCTGTCACACATTACATAGTCAAAGGTTATTTTTTGAATGGTTAGCCTCAGCTGGGATAGCCTCTGTCAGGCTCAGCAAGAACGACTCACAAAGGTAGGTGGTGTGTGGGTCTTGACTGCACATGTAGCTCTGCCCTGGCTGAGCGCCTGGCATTAATTGCTGTAGCCCTTCTCTGCAACCATCTGTTTCTTCACCTGAAATATGCTTAGCTGGTCACTCCTCTAGCATCTATATCATTCCACTGTTTTTTTGTTGGGTTTTTTTTTGGTCATAAAAGGGTAATGTGCAAGGTAAGGTCATAAATACATTACTTAGGGATAGTCTTGCTGCTACACTGTAATGACAGTGCTATAGAGACATAAACTGCAGAATTTTTCAACAGGCACAAGGAAGCAAACTATCTGAATTAATATTATTAAATGAGCCAAGCTGTACAAAATATAAAATGTTTGGTTTTAGCATTGACCCTTGTTGTATTCATTTTTCTCCTGGTTTGGTTCACTATGGGCTTGCACCCATTTCATTTAGCAGCGGCGGGAGAGGCTTAACACTGCGGTTGTCTCCATTTTTTCCCTGGCCCTCCCTTCATTCCAGATCTAAAAAAAAGCAGTAAAATACCTTGAGGGGGTGGGATGCAACAGCTGTGGAATTCCTGAGCAGCCCTTGCAGTGTTCAGTGGAGAAATGATGATGAAAAGCCCTACAGTGTAATGTGACTAGCCCGTCTAGCCCGTTCAGGTACAGGGAGGTAATGAGAGGATTCCCAGGGTAGTGATGGTGAAGTTGAACAGCCTCAGCGGGTTGTGGTTCAGGTCAAATGCGGACACTTAAAACCTGGGTGTCAGGTTCTCAGGATTGTGACCAAGTGTTAAGGAAGTGAGTAAATTAGTTAAGGCTGATTTAAAGAGACTATGAAAAAGTTTTTCTCCATTCATTTCTCTCAAGCTTGTTTTAAGAGTCAGCATCAACAGTCTTTATTTTCAGTGCATTGTTATTACTTATGTAGAGACATAGGTGTATGCTGCCTTTCCTGGACCAAAAGATAACCCATCTCCTTCATCTCTCATCTTTAATGTTAATGTGTTAAACTTACAGTATTATATTCCAATAGCAAGTGAAGCCCAAGGTCTCGCTGGTCCTACACCTGGTTACACGTAGGGATAAGAGCTAAACTCTGCAGGAGATGGTGTAAAATAAAAGCGATTAGAATGGTAAGGAGCTATTTTCTAATCTCAGGCAGTTTGCTGATCACTCGGGTGGTCAGGGAAAATATTTATCCTGGCTAGTATGGGTACAAATGAGTAATTATCACACATTTAGTAATTTTTAGATCCTCCTATACTCTGAGTAAAAAACCATAAACAACACTGCTATAAATATATTCTTGTGTCAATCTGTATTTAGTATTTTAAGAGGCTGTCATTGTTTCATTTCAGAGGCTCCCTTCCCTTTGTTTGTTATAAGGGATGCATGGGAACTTGGCTCACCTTTTCGCTACCATTTCTATTATGTTATAAACCTCTTTCTCTCTTCACTTGTGATTGATTAACAGCCTCACGAAACCGAATCTAATTTTTTAGTGTCTCTCATGTGGAAGTCTTTCCGTGACACAGCTATTGCAACTCTCTGTGTTTGGACCAATTTCTATTAGTTCTGTATCGATTTTGAGAGGCAGTGGATAGACCCAATATAAGAATATGGCATCTAAATATATGATGACATTCACACATTTTCTTTGTGTGCTGTTTTGAATTTGACTATGTAGTGGGCAGACATCACTATTGAGCTCCACAAATCATTTCCTTTTTAAGTTTTAAAGAAACAAAGACCATTTGCATGGACCACAGCATCCATGTGAAGAAAAGTATATAGGATAAATATTATAACTATCAGCTTAACCCAATAGTGTAAAAAGATAAACATGCACCTTTAATATTATTGAACCAGCATTAATGAAATTGCTCCTTGGCATAGTTGTGTAATCATGTAGGCACTGCTTTGGATTTTCAAAATCAAATCGAGAGACAAATCCTCCCACATATGAAACGTGTCACTTTAACTTAGTTATGTTAATATGCATGCATCCCATGTCTTTACAAGTAGTATTTCTATATGGCTATTCCATGTCCACAGATATGTCTGTATTTTAGTTAAATGACTCATAATGACTTACTATTTTTATGCATTAAGGGCTGGCTGGAGTACCAAAGATTTACTCTCAGCATAAATCTGTGAGGAAATATTTATAAAATATGTTCTTGCACCAGCAAGACTAAAAAGCAAACCACACTGCAAAAATGAAAACTAATATACACTTTATATTTTTTGTGTTTTAAAAACCAAACCAAGGTTGACTTTCCATTTAGCTCAGAGTGCATCACTTGGAAGCCTTGTGTTTTGTTAACAAGGATGAACATTACATGCTCTTAGCTCCTTTTTGTCTTTGCAACTAGCAAACTGAGTACTTTTGGACCTCTTCTTTACCATCATGTAGCGTTCCTGAATTCCACCTCCACAGAGCGTAGAACATTCTGTCCAAGCAGTCCATGGTTTCAGCCTACAAACTGAAAAAATAAGTCATTTGATTAAGTTTTTAGTATTTCAGTCTAACCTCCATATCTCAGTATGTGTACCACTATGCAAGTGTGCACACTTACATGTTTTGAATCTAAGATAGCATATTGCCTAGTTTATTACAGTAGGAATTAAGAAACCCCAGTTAAGTATAATCAAGGTGCATTTGTCAAACTGAAAAAACATATTAAAAAAGAAATTTACTGTCTACATTATGAAAGACAGATAAAATTAAGAAACTGTTAAATTTTCACATTCCACACTTGGTAGTGAAGAAGCTAAAATATTTTCAGTGATGGGACATGGACAGATGTAAGCCTTTCTCCACTGTGCCCTAAACTTAGGTCACAGATTTTTGGTGACAGGCAAACATCGAAAGTGGCTATGCTTTACTTTATTGCTAAAACTTTCCCTAGACTAAAATGCTGAAAATGTTCTCACAGCATGAAGTGGAGCTGCTCACAAACTCCTGTTATGCAGAAAAGGCAGACAGACATGAGCATACTAAAAAATGGTTTCCCACTCACCTGGATATTGCTCACTATCTATATTTTTTTTTGCTTGTTCGCTTCTCCTTTTCTCCCGGGCTTCTTTCCAGCGCCTTTTTTCCATACCTGGGCCTCTCAGGCATTTCCTTACTCGACATTTTGTACGTTGGACAGTTTCTGGGCATGCTGTTCCTCCAAACTGTGGTTCTATTTTAATCATTCTTGTCCTGATCATATGGCCCTTTCCACATGAGGTATTACATTCGGACCACTGGGACCACTCTGTTAGTTCACAGTCGATGGCTGCAAAGAATGAGAAATATTACATGAAAGCCGTGAGATCTAACCATAAGGTCAAGAAGAAAAACACAGATGTGCCTAATGAGTTTTTACATCCTAAATACATGAACGCAACTTAAGCCTCCAGTCTTTTCAGCAAATGTTGTGAGGCTACAAGTCAAAATGTTCTGAGTCCATTTCTAGCAGAATTATTATTTGACACTTTCCTCAATTTCTTTTTGAAGAGTGGTACTGGCAGATCACTAAAATTACAAAGAGAATAACTAATTCTCCTGTGCCTTCTTCAATTTTCCCACCCATATGTCTGTTTTATAATGAAAAGCTGTTAAAAATTGAGTTATATTTACAAAGAATCTGATACCTCTGAGATCTAAGCCTTGCTTTACGGGTAGTGTTATGCAATAAGCAAGATTCACTAATACCATTAAGTCTTAAAAGTTTTCATCTTTCAGCACTGCTTAAAATTTACAGCCCCAGTGAATAATAATCAAAATGATATTTCACATTGTTTAAAAAGCTGAATTAGCAAATTACAGTGTAAAAGCCTTTTTAACCAATACTTTCTGTGAAAAATAATGTAATTAGTTATAAAGCCTCATAAACCAGCTGGCAACAGGACACTAAAAGCAATCATATCTTATTCATTCAGCAGTGCCTTAGGCTATCACGCTTCACAAAGACTGCAAAGCAACTAGAAATTTGCACCACCCAAGAAGAGGAGGATTTTAGTGGAGTAAGGTAAAAAATCAATGCAGCTGTCTCCACACCATCTGCTGGCTAATATGATATTCCAGGTTGCAAAGGGATGTAGATCAGTGAAAAGGCTACGATACAGTTCAGAGATGTATCAAAGGTGGAGTGAGCCTCTTTTGTGTTCTTTCTGTGAGCTAAAAGAGTCACACAGGCAATTTTAATCCTTCTTTCCTTCCTTCCTTCCTTCCTTCCTAGCACACATTCTGCATTTGAGTAAAAAATAGGTTTTATAATTCTGACTTATTTACTATTGGGAAGTGCACAAACTGTTGCCTGAGGTTGTAGTGTGTTAAATATGCAGAAACCCTATACCCAAAGCAATATTGGTCATCAGCGTAGGGTTAAGTAAGGCAAGCTGAAATTAAGACATGGACATATTCCAGCTCTCAATAGCTCAAAGTGCACAATAATAATAGTAATACAAAAATTTAAAACAAAATAATCCACAGTTGATATCACTCCTATCTAAGAAGTGATGCTATAAAATGGTGATAGAGTTTTGACCCATAGACTGTGACACACATAGTTAGGCTCCTCTTTCCAGAGAGTTTCCCACACTTACGGCATTCGGGCAGCATGCATTTTTCTGCTTGTTCCAGCTCCTCATTGCAGTCTCCAAGCTCAGCAGCAGATTTCAGCATCCTTTGCCGAGTTCGCATTCCCTTCCCACATGTTACACTGCAGTCACTCCATTCAGACCAAGGAGAGAGTAGACAGGGGATAGTATCTAATATGAAAATGAAAAGGTAATGAAGTCTTGTTATATATAAATTGTGAAGCTATACACTTTGAAAATAATACAGGTGGAAAATGTACTATGTTTTATCTGTCATCAACCAATTATACTTTGTTGTCACTTTGGACAAAATGAATCACCAGCTGAATGATGTTGCTGAAGAAGCTCAGAAAACACTATATTAAATTGGAAGGTTTGCTTGGTTTTAATACCCTTTCTTTGCTATCTTTTTCTATATCTTATTCATATCTGCAGAGTCCCAGTGCTTCCAGGGAATAAACAGTTTGAGGAGGTATGTTTCAATCATAACTCCTATAAAAAAAACCTGGATTGTTGCTGTGGACAGAACTGGAAGTCAAATTGATATAGTCTAAAATGTGATACTTCTACATTTTGTTTACCAAAAATATTTTTAAACTTAATTCTTTCTGTCTTTGATGAAAATCTTAACATTTCTTAAGAAATTAAAAACAATATTAATAGTCACAGTAAGGGTGAGATTGGCTGACTGCACAAAAGGAGCACCTCAATTTCTGAACTGTTCATGGGCTAAAAGGAGAGGGCACTGTTTTATTCTAGCCTTATGATTAAATATACCTCATATTCCATAAATTAGAGTTGCTTATGTATGGCTTGCTAATATACACATCACTGTATGGGTAATAGAGTAATAGCATACCACTGAATGCTTTTTACTGATACTCATTCTGTTGGTGAACGTGGTATTTAATGCACATTCCCTAAGGGATCTAATTTTAAGGAGAACAAGAAAAAGCAACGTTGCTTCTGTTTTAGCTATATTCTTTGTGTGACGGAGCAACGTGTCAGAAATGATGCCTCTATACCAGAGGAGATAAACTCATGGACACTTACGGCATTCAGGCATCATGCATTTCTCTGCCTCTGTAGTTTCGGCCTTGCACATGGATCCATCAGCGGGAGTCATCTTGATCATCCTGTGTCGTCTCTTCATCCCCGTGCCACAGCTAGCACTGCATTCATCCCACTCTCCCCATTCAGTGACAAGGCAGCTGCTAGGGGCTATTCAAAATGGACCGAGAAAATCATTCACTAGTAGAGCTCATATAAAACAATGTTTTGGGCAGTGCTGGATTTTAAAAAGCTAAATAAAATACTTACAGCATTCCTCATTTACAATACATTTCTCAGTCTCTTCAGTAGGCACTTTGCACATAGAGCCATCTTCAGGGAATTGTTTTACATATCTCTCTCTAGATCGCGTTCCCATCCCACAGGAAACACTACAGGGGGACCATGTAATCCAGTCAGACATCATGCAAGTGGAACCATCTAAAATACAGAGAACCATTTCAATTGCTAATATTAACATACTTGCTGATAAATCTGTAGTTACCCATTGGTGTGCAGTATCACTTTTATGCTGCCTCTCACATTCTATCCTCTCCTCTATTGCTTACTTTACTCCTTTATACTCCTGTGTACTTCATGCACCGACTCAGATGAACTGCAGAATTGAGCAGAGACAGCTTCAATTTGTATTCTTCAGCAATTATTCCTCTGTTTGCCATAACCCAAGTCATACAGCAACCAGCAGCTTTAAGAACTTTAAAGGAAAAGTAAACACTACAAGGTGTTCTTCTCCACCCTTTCCTTTTGGTTACCTTCATCACTGCAGCCTGGACCCATGCATGGCTGGAAGTCTTGGGTATCTGGACAGGGCACACTGAGGTCTAACTGAGCTTTAAGCATTCTCTGCCTCATCCTCTTGCCCTTTTCACAGGTAGAAGAGCTGCAGGCTGACCATGGGGACCAGTTTGAATATATGCAGGTCTCAGGGGTATCATCTAAAAAGTAAGAAAAGGCAGTGAATGTTAAAAATAGATTGTCCTCCATTTGCTTCTCTTTACTTGACTGGTGATCGCTTTGGATGCTAATAGGATACATTCTTTCCTCCTGCACTCTATCTTCTCTGTTTTAAACCCAAAGGAAAAAAAAAGAAGACCAACTGCCAACTTTCATTAAAAAAAAAAAAATATCTTTTTATTTGAACCCCAAAAGTCTTCTCTTATTGCTTTTATTGTTATTGTCATCTTCCAGGTATACATGCAATTTCTTTGCTGTATAAGGGAAGGCTAATAGCAGATACCGCAACAGATGAAAACCTAAATCACTTTTTGGCACTGAGTGGGACTTTTGCTCCTAAGTCAGTTTTGTACTTTATCTAGAAATGACAGTGGAGAATGGAACAAAATATAAATTATTGCAGCACAAACTAATTTAAAAAGTACCTTCTTCTTTTTCCTCTGGGGCTAGGTCTGCCACAATATCATCTATGTTATCAGGTACGATATTGCATTGCTCCCCCTGCAAAGAAATTGTTGTGGAGATTGGATATAGGAAACTCATACATATATGCAGCGAGAATGGCTAAAACAGTATACTGTGAGGCACTATTGCATCTGCAGCACTTTTTCCTCTTCTAATTCCTATGCATACTTTTAAAAAAATCCCCAATTAAGCAGATGCAGCAATTACCAGAAGTAGAAGAAATAATACCTTAAGACAGTTTTAAATTTAAGAAACAGTTTTAGATCTTTTCTGCCATTATCTTTGTTGTGGGTAGGTTAAGGAGTGTCGATTTGGAGGGAGGGGACAGGAAGGACTGGTTTTTTGGTTTATGAAGTGGGTTTTTTTACTTGCTTGAGAATTTTATCTATATATATTATACCTTGCGTGCAATTCTTTCAATGACAACTCTGGCTACCAGCTTGATAGATCCTCCTTCTGGATCATAAAATGGACTTTGAGGATGATCTAAGCTTGTAAGTGGTCTGATCTTCTCTTGAGGCACTGTAGGCTTGTTAGGAGACTGCAATCAAAAAGAAAAAAAAAGTTAAAAAAGAAACTAATAATTATGATTAATAATATAATTCATCTGCAGAAATTAAAACTTCTCCAAAATGCTAAATTGGGAAATTCCAATATAAGATGAACTCGGTACATTCATACTTAATGGTAAGGTGTTGGTTTTTTTTTTTCAGGAAGCACTTTTCTAACACTTTGGGATTCAACCCTAAAGCTGGGTTCACAATAAGATGTATGCCTTGTTGTGTGTTTAGATTACATTAATAAAAAAATTATTCAGTATGCCTCCAGAGCTACATTATAAGTGGAGAAATTCCTTAGGTTCTAAAGAGACCAGGTCTGAATGAAATAAACCAGCCATCTTCTGTCATCTGAAAATAAGTGTGGTATATGGAATATGTGGAATATATGTGGTATTTGAGGATGTGACTAGTCTTGCCCAACTTCAGTGTCTATACTGTCTGTATAGACACATACTGTAGGTACACTTGTCACCTATGGAGACCTAACCCATTCAGTAATTTGACATAACTCATTTGGTCAAAACCAGGACTTTACCTGAGGATGATGTGAATCTCTTCCTAGACTGAGAGAGTGATGGAGACAGAGAAAATGGATGATTTGAGAGTCTTGTAGTGAGGAGAAGTCAAGAGTTTTAACCCCTGCTGTAAGGAATAGGTAAGTTCTCTGTGCCAAGCAGAATAGTTGGCATTGGGTTGAAACAGTAGAAAACTCAAGTTGATGCGGCTGCTGATGGCACACAGATTTGTATCAAAGGGCTTGGACACCTTAATGCTTAGTTTTGAGCAAACGAAGTCTTCCATTTATTTAACAGGTGAATATAATAATATCCCAGGTGAATGTAATATTACCCCATTAATAACAATGCTCAGGGAATTCAGACACAATGACCGACAGTAACCAGCTAGCATCTGTCTAAATGAGTTTTAATTCATTATAAGCACAATGTTTACTAGAGTAGTATAAAGGCATATATGGCATTACCATGGATCAAATAGCTTTCCTCCTTCACTGCTTTAAGGTAAACTTTATGTTTTGAATATATTACAAATAGTCCACGTACCTCATAGGTAACGCCACTGTCTGTGCCAGCATCCCAGGGTATTAAATCCTGAACAACTTTCTGAACCCAGCCGCAGTCCTTGGTACAGAGGTCTTCAGCAGAGAGACCCACATTCCAGTCCGGGCTGGGGCCAAGCATGGTGAGGAAGGACATCAGGTGCCGGTGACGATCGACAGAAAACTCAGCAGAGGGAGCAGCTCTCCTGAAAATTGGCCGTAGGAAGACTATTAACAACTGAATTCAAGTTTGCTGTTAGAGGGCAATGAAACTGGTGCTTCAAACTGAGAAATCCTGAACACTGGCATGACACTGTGTATGTGGAATGTGGAGATGGAGAAGCAGGACAGGGAGAGGACTCCTGCTCAGCACTCTGTATTTTTAGTCTCCATGTACCATCTGAGAAACAGCTCTGATATCATTCAAGGAGCTTTACAGTTTAATGGGTGAGAGAGATGTAGCAATAAAGAGCTGCAGCAGCATGCTTATGTCTTAGTTGTATAATAATAATAATAATAATAATAATAATAATAAAAGAATCTTTCATGAAACTTACAAAAATTTGAAGTAAAATAGCAGGGAAATACCCTGAGGTTTTGATTGCTGGAATACTTTTGACCTCCCCCCCAAAGATAATACAAATTCCAATGCCAGAGTGCTTGGAAGTGCTACTGTGTGTATGTGTGCAAAAAAGCACTCATTAATAGAGTTTTAGTGCTTATGTAAGTGAGAGATTAATGGCCATTGCCAGCCCTAGCGAGTTCAGCCAAGACTTTTGCAGGTTTCTGCCAGTGTATGTGAAAACACCTCTATTCATCCAGCCTTTGTCAGCCGTTCCCTTAGGAAGAACTCGTGCTGAATCATGCAGTGCTCTGCGATGCTGATGAGCAACTATCACATTCCTTTGCAAACAGAAAATAAAATCAGGGCTGAACTGGAGGTTTCTGTTCACAGATGAAAACCTGGACCTCTTCATGGCATCCTTCTCATGAGCAACAACAAATGTGGAGTGATTTAAAATATGATTTTGGCAATTCTGCTCTACCAAATACTGGTCTGATGTCAACCCAAGTTTTCTTCAGTTACAGGACTTGGATCAATATAGACTCAAGTTGTTTTTTTTTTTCAATTTTATGCCAAAACACACTGCTTTATGAGCACCTAAAAACCATGATTGTTTTTAATATAAGGGATTTTTACAGTGTTATTCATCTTCTCTTTTTCAGTTAGGTAGCTGTATATATATAATGCACATACACTGTTTGTCTCTAGTCATAAGGAGTTTATTCTTCCTATAAATGCTTGCATCCCTGTAAAACTGTGGCATTTCATTTGTGAATTTTTTTCTGTCTCATAGCATTCTCAGCATGTTAGGGAAAACAGAACAGCCCGAAGACAATGATTTTGAGTAGTTATCACGCAGTTTCAAATGTAAGATGTCTAAGTTAGTGTATCTAGTTCCCCTTCAAGAGGCAAGTTGCAGAAGTAGGCATTTGCTAATGGGTAAAATGTTCCGGCCACTTCTGTTCCGGAGTCTTTAGAAGCTGTTTCTTACTGTGTAAATTATCTTACATTGAATTAAAGTCTCTGAGTAGAAGAGTTTCTAAGTGTTTGATGACATTAATCCTGCCTTTCCCAGAAAGAGATGCAAATGAATTTTTTTTTCCATGACAGATAGAACTCTGATTTCAATGGAGCAATTTGTCTAATGTAAAGTAATAAAATAATGAATGACGGTATCAACTTCGCTTTGTGAATACAGTATCCTGGTATATTTGTCAAGTACCTAGCAGTGATTAGTCTTAAAAAAGCCTGCTAACTGACTTCAATTAACTAAAGGATTTACTGCACTGTAAGGGTCTCTAAGAATTCCCTATAGGAATTTTATATTTAAAAGAGTACACAGCAGAAGTCTAAACAGTACACAGTAAAAATAACAAAGCGCTGTGTGTTTGTATACCTGATCTTTATATTAAGGATATGTCTAATACGGACATTGCAGAATAGAGGCGCAGGTCAGCTCTTTCAGGAGAAAAGCAAGGGCGGTGTGGAGCTGCCCACTACTGCGCCTGGCACCGGAGCCGATACTAAGTTAGTTGGTATGTATTGCGTGACATTACATTTCAATGCTCTGTGCACACCTGCTCTCAGGAAAGACAAGAGAGGCAGACACAATCATACCCTTTAAAGGCAGAGGGTTGGAAATCACTTGACTACTTTAGGCACATTATAATGGGAATCTTTTGTCACCTGTTATTCTTGTGATAGGCACGTACAATTAAGGCTTTGAATGCTTTGTCAGGAAAGTAAATATTAATCATGTTATTAATATAAATAAAAATTGTGTATTTACATTATAACTAACTGTATCAATACTGAAACTGTGTAAAGGAACACTTCAGTAGGAGATACTCTTTGCCTACAAGCCTTTGCATGTGTTAAATTATATCAGGAAACCTGAGCCTCCCATAATTTTCCAATTTCAGAGCACTTCACAAAAATTACCTATCTTCTGCTCCTTTAAGACAGATAGCTAGTTTCATGGCCATTTTACTGTATTTTATCCCATAACTGCTTAACACAGAAATATAAAGATTAATAGAGGACGAATGGAGGCAAGTTTTCTCCTCTTCCTTCCTCCACTCTTGTGCAGATACGTACACAGTGCACCTACACTTTGTCTGCAGTGCAGCACAACATGCCAGGTTGGACATTTTAAAAATTTTTATATGCAGTGTTTAAGAATGAAGTATTTAAAATATATATTATCATAAAATGTATTTGTTGTACTTGCTACTTTATTCTATTAACAATTTCTGCATGGATACTTGTAAGCAGTATGTGTACAAATTTGAACCACAATTATGTAATGTTGCCCAAAATTCAACATTCACAGTCCTTCTTGAGTTGCTGTAATTAAGGAAGAGAAATGGGCTGATCTAAGGCTCAGTTGATAACTACTACCTAGGCGTAGGGATAGGCACTGATTGGGCTTATACAATAGAGAGCTTCGGTGGTTTCTTTTGTTTGTGGGTTGGTTTTTTTTTAATAAAATGACAAATTTCAAATGTTTCCAGTATCCACATGAATGATGAATTTATGAAGCTGGCAGGAACCTAAATCCTTCCCTGCATATCTCAACAACACATCTGGCTCAAGTGTCCGAAGATTGGCCTATGGATGTCCCTGAAGGAAACTAGTGTAAAAAGGTACTCAAGTGCACCCTAAAACCTACCTTTTTCACTTCTGTATTGTCAACACACCTGATAAAATAGGGATGTAGATCATCTTCTTTATCTCTGCTTTCAATACAAGTATATATTGCCATTTTAAGGCTTTTAAATTTTAAGAAAGTTTTCTTCTGTGACAGGTAGATCATGTTTGGTAATGCCCACAGAAAAAGCCTGAAGTTTGTAACCGATGTGAATTTGCTGTAAGAGAAAAATAGGTCCCTTTTCCTTCCCCTACAAATGTACATGCGTAAAAACAGTGGCGAATATGAGTTGCAAAGCAAATCCTAAACATTAGGTAAGTTCTAGGTGACAACCTTGTGAGCCCCACGGGGCTGGGAAATCCTGCTTTCGTTGCCTGAAGCAGACAGTACTTTTCCACTGTGAGCCTGATCAGCCTGCTGACAATTCCTGTCACGTAGTACAGAGTGAAGCAAAGTACTAGATAGTGTCCTGCATCCTAATGTTTTCTGCTTTCTTTATTTTTATTCTATTTTATTTTTGCTAGCAAGCTTTGGATCTCCAGCTATAGGGATGCAATACACTGAGCAGCGTAAACGAATGCTCTTTTTTCCCCTCTGTTTTTGTGTTTGTTTGGTTTTTTTAAGGTTAAAAGAGCACAAACATGATTTTGCTTTATAAGTTTTTTTTCCCTAAATGGCAGTCTAGTTGCTATCCCTGCTGGGGGTGGGGGGGTTAAGAAAGCCTTTGACAAACCAACAGAAAACTCAGCTTGCTGCAAGACATATTTTTGAGTGTTGCATCAATACTGTTGTGTTCTACTGATATCCCTGTAAAAGGTAATAGAGCACACGTAAGGAAGGTGGTTGTGGAGAGTTACTGGATGAGAAATAGTAAGAATAATATTTTGCAGAATAAAACTTTGAGGTTACTTTTGATTTAATATTTGATTAATATACACATAAAAGATGTAGAAAAAGGCAGCCCAAGCATGTACTCTTTGTCTCTGTGATACTAACTAGCTCAACAAATAAGACCATTGATAGGGTTGAGTTTGTGCCATTGGAATCAATGTGAATTTTACTACTGGATGATATATGTTCTATATTCGTATAAGAAAGCCATTTGCCTCACCCATGCATAAGGAATTTTGCAGCAACACAAAAGCCTATTATATAAGGACAGATCTGAACATGAACAGCATCTGTATTTCCACTGCAAAGTGCAGTGTAGTGCAGAGAATCTCTTGCTAGCTGTTAAACTCACCAGGTTGGCTGCTAGAAGTCATTCTAGCTATGGCAGCACAAATGCAAATAATTTTTTCAAATAAATTAAAACAATGTATTAGATGCTTGTCATACAGCAGTGGAGGAAAAGCCAACAGCCTGAAACATCTTCAGAAATATTGAATTTGTGCAGTGCTTCACAGTTATCCAAGTTCTGACTTCAGTTGTGGGTGAAAAATAATGTTGTGATTAAGTGGGCATATTAGAAAGAACAGGACAGCATAAAATACTAATTGTTATGATATCTGTTTGAAATAAAATTCTAATTCAGGTAGTCTTATATATTTTATGCTGGGGAAAAAATCTGATTGATTCCATGGATTTAATAACTATATGGCACATATGGTAGTTTGAAATGTCTTAAACCTCTCCAGGTTTCTTCACAGAGCTGTATTAAGGTATAATTGTCCTAAAGCTATTATTAGAGTCTGTATACCAGACTCATTTGAGCGTACCAGGATCTGATCTCGCTTGTGCTAAGGATAACGTAGTAGCCTTTTCAGATAGGAAGAAAAAAGTGTAAACACGAGAGAAACCAATCCAAGTCTGATGACCATCGGAGGAGGTAGGTAGTTGAGAGTGCTGTGGGCCACATTGCCACTGGTGTAGTGTCAGTTCTAGGTGGTGCTGATGATGTGAAAACACTATTTTTTTTAAGCTGAGAATTTAGCTTATTACAGAGATCATGAAAACTGCATATTTTACGGAAATAGTAAATGAATTTCCTA